TAAGCTGATTGTCTTGGCCTAGGAGTAGGTTTCTTGAATCTACTTTTCGTGGTTGTTCGATCTGATCTAGGGCTTGTAGAGCTACGCTGTTCTGTATAGCTCTAGCTAGCTCCTCTCTAAATAGATCCCAGTCTGCTCTTTTTGTATTATATCTTATTTGGCTAGTAGAGTTGTTAACTAGGTCTCTTGTTGTCTGTATTGAGAAGAGTATCCCGTGATGATCAGATCCAGTTTCTGTAGTAGTTTGCCAGTCTTCTACTTTGTCTACTAGATCTAGTGTAGCGATAGTTAGATCTAGCGTTGTTTCTCTAGACATATTAGGTCTAAAGAAAGTAGTAGCTCCTGGCGTATTAAGGAGGCTAAGGTTCTGGTCTTCTATCCAATCGGCTAGTGGCTGGCCGCCTTGGCTAGTTTTTTTGCAGCCTGGGTCCCACCAAGGGTGGTGCTCGTTGGCGTCTATTACTAGTATAGTAGATGTTGGAAGCTGTGTATTTTTAAGTATTCTTGTAAAGGTTTTTATATTTTCTTCGTTTTTTTGGTTGTACACGTTGTAGATATTAAGCTTTAAGCGTCCTTCTTGGATCGTGATGGCAATAGCGTCGGGGTCAGCTATCTCCTCTAGCTGGCTAACCTCTGCTGTTAGAGATCTAGAAATATAAAATAGAGCTCTTGGGCGGAGGCTTGGATCTGCTTTTGGAAGGATTTGGTAGAAGCTTTGGTGGGCTATTGACCTTGGGGCTTCGTAGTTATTGCTATCTGAAGGTGCAATCCACGGCTCTTGGATTGCAATAATATCAACTTTAAGCTCGATTGCTAGTTGTAGCGTTGACTCTGTGGCGTGTGGGCTTTTATCTAAGTTTACTTGTAGTACTTTAAGGTTTTCTACCATTATTTGATAGATAGAAGAACCTCGCAGTCTCTGCTGTTAGCAAAGTGAGTGTTTTTGCAGTTTTTGCATTTTGGTAGCGTGTGGTTGCACGCCTTTCCTTTTGCCTTACAAATACTGCAGTAGTGCTGCGTAGTTAAGTGATTTTCGGCACAGAGCTGGCAGCTAGCTAGGTTTCTACACCTGCTAGCGTTGTGTCCAAATCCTTGGCACTTGCTGCATTGCGCAGTTAGTGGGATTTGGCGGTATTTCTCAACCCGAAGGGATTGGCCGAGAATTGTAATTCTATCACCAATCTTCTTCGCTTCTTCTTCTGATTTGAAAGCAATAACTATTGAGCCTGCTTGTTTGTTTTTCCAGCTTTTAGTTAGCCAGAAGGGGTTCCCTACAATCGTTTGGTTTTTGTTGTACGTTGGGATTTCTGTGTGGAGTAGCTGAAGGTTTTCAGCGCCGTCGAACGTGGTTGGTACTCCGTGTACTACTAGCTTTGACCAATTTTCTATTGGCTGTGCTTTCTTAACTTCAAACTGGCTCTCCCAGACGTTAATTTGTTGAAGTAGAAAGTCTCCTGAGTATCCCTCTGTTGTAGTAAGGATAAGGTTATTTTTCTTAGTAGTCCAAATTTCTTTAACTACTGGGCCTTTAATGCCAGCTTTTTGAAAGGCTTGGTTGATTTTGTTTCTAACTAGTAGTGGGCTAGCTAGTTGGCCTTCTGCTAGTGTTAGTAGCATCTGGTAGTAGGGCGCTGGTTTTGTCGTTTTTGCTGGCTTCTTCTTTGGCTGTACTGTTGTCCAGGCTTGGTTTGAGTTATTTGCTGCAATTGCAGCGTACGAGGTTGGGGCTGGCTTTTGAGCTAGCTGGGCTGTTGGCTGAGCTTTAGAAGCTGCTGTTGTAGCTTGCTTAAGCGTTTTTGTTGCCTGTTGTGAGGCGCTTGCTAGAGTAGCTGAGTGGTAAGCTAGCTTGGCAGATAGCTTTTCTGTGAATTGGTTGGCTACTCTGCCTGTTTCAGTATAGTCTCTAAAGACGTCGAGTAGCTCTAGTAGCTTATTTTGAGCTACGTGGGAATCTGCCATTATAGAGGCCTGGAGTATAAGGTCTCTAGCCCACTGAATTGCTTGTTGCGCGTTCTTAGCTGTTGGCTTTTGATTGCTTTGGCTTGGGAATAGGTTTCGGGCTGGCTGGGATATTTCTGGTGAGAAGTTGGCTTGCCGTTTGTTTGGTGGTAGTATTGGCAGCTCAAATAAGCTAGCTTGGCTGGCTGGTTGGGTGGGCGTGGCTGGTGGGGACTCTACGTCCATTTCTCTGTCGATTTGAGCCTCTAGACCTAGGCTTTCCTGTCTATTTTCTTGAGTATTAACTCGTATAGTGTCGCTTTCTGGCGGCATTCTTAGTAAGCTTCTTACTAAGCTCTTTCTTAGTAAGCAGCTAGGTGGTCTGTGTCTTTTTGTTTTCGTGAGTGAAACGTGTTCGAATTAGCTACTTTACCAGCTTCTAGCTCTGTAGCGCGTAGGCTGCACGACTTGGCACTAGTTTTAATCGATTTCTTAGGATGGATTTGTATATATTTGACTAAAATTACACCTATTCTAGAAAACTCGAAGTTGG